AAAAAAAAAAAAAAAAGACAGACTCTGGAAGTCGCTTTAAAAGAGGAAGCTCTTCAAGCACAGCCTCTCTGCAGTTATGATTCTCTAAAGTTCAACCCAAAAGAAATACTTACCAAGTTGCTTTTCCTCCTTGTAGTTTTCTGGCGAATTTTAGAGGACTTTTTCCTGAAATGCTCGGCTTGTTCGTATCTTAAGAGAGAAGAAGCAGCTCAGATCAAACACACGCAAGTTCAAGGTGTCTTACTTCAGTGACATGAAAATCACTCCTTACACAAAGCCCAGATCCTTTCTTGCTGGTGATCTGGCGGTATTCTAGTGACAGTCTACACAGCTCAATAGCCCCAAGAAAAAAGAGCTGGGGGGGAGATCCACGGTGTTTAGCTGGTTTACCCCGTGCTGAGGGTCTAAGGCCCAGCCCAACTCAATGCAACGCGTGCCCAGACGGCGCAGCTGCGGGCCATACTTGTTCTGTTTCTGGCACAGGGCTGCGAGCGCGTCCAGCTCCCGGGCGGTGTGTGGGTGGCCGGCACCATAGGCGTTCTCGGAGATCTCCAGCGCCTGTGTGTACAGCTGCTCCGCGTTCCCGAACTTCTTCCACTGCACGTACACGCTCGCCAGCTGGCGCAGAGACTGGGCTACTCTCGGGTGGTCTGGATCCAAAGCCGTCTCTCGGATTTCTAGGGACCGCTGCAGAGGTACGACGGCCTGGCGGAGGGGAAAAAAGGATCAGAGAGGGCTGACCCAAGAGGAGTAAGTGGGGAGAGCCGCCCCCCACCCTGGCTCCCCCCAGCCCCCACCTGGACTCACCTGGCTGAGGAGGCCCAGATCCTTGAGAAAGCGGCCCAGCGTCTCGTAGAGATCAGCCAGGCAGATCAGGCCGTCGCCGCCGGCGCAGGTCTTCTCATACTGCTTCAGCGCGTCGAAGTACTCTGCAGCCATGGAGCTTTTGTCTTTGCCCACACACTGCCAGTAGCTGAGTAGCTCGGCCAGGTGTCCTCTGCGGCAAACCAACGACAGCCACCAGGTGAGCCACCAACTTGGAAGAAATTACTGGCAGTTCCTTTGTGGACCAGCAGAGTGGGGTGAAGTCAGAGGTCAGGCTGACTGACCACCCCACCTCCCCTTTGCCCCCCTTCCTCCAGCTCACTATCTCAGCACCACGGTGAGTGCTGGGAGGTGTTACCTGTTGCTGTTATGGCCTGGACAAGGAACTCCTCACACACACGGCCACCACCTGGTGGCGCTGTTTGGGGAGGGTGAAGGCACTTGGGGGTGGGGGTGGAGCCTGGCTGGAGGAGGCGGGCTTCCAGTCCACCATGAGGGGAAAATTGTCCACCTTCTCCCACCCACCATGATGTTCTGCCCCCGCCTAGAGCACTGGTTCCAGCCACCACAGACTGTACTCTTTGAAGCCATGTGCAAAATAAGTCTTCCTCCAGTTGTTTCTGTCAAGAATTCTAGACAGGGGCTGGGAAGGTGGCTCAGTGGTAGAGTGCTTGCCTTGCATGCATGAGGCCCTGGGTTTGATTCCTCAGCACCACATAAGAAAAAAGAAAAAAAGCCGGAAGTGGAGCTGTGGCTCAAGTGGTAGAGCACTAGCCTTGAGCTGAAGAGCTGAGGGACAGTGCCCAGGCCCAGAGTTCAGGCCCCACGACCGGACCCAAAAAAAAAAACAAAAAACAAAACTTAAAAAAATATATACATATATGTAGATATGTGTCAATATCTATCAACAAATATATAGATCTATAGACAGATCTCTCAACTATAGATATATGTATGTATATAAATCTACAGATTTATATAGCTATATTTATATATATTTATGTCTATAGTTTTGACACGTACCAATATAAATGTAGATACAGCTATACATATGGACCTATCAATGGTATTGATATATATATATATGTAGACATATAGTAATAGATACATATAGATATATGTATATCTATACAGATATTGATAGATCTATATCAATAGATCTCTCAATCGTATTGATATCTGTCAATATCTGTCAATATACCTATCACTGGAATTTTACTCATTAGGAAGAATGATAATATGTCATTTGCAGAAGCACGGATGGCTCTGGAAACAAACATCGTACTGAGTGTGAGCCAGGTTCAGGAAGACAGAAGGGCCTGCTTTCCCTGCTCTGTGGAAGTCAGACCTAACACGCCCTCTGGGTGAATACATGCAGGATCACACACACACAGACACACGTATTTGCAGATGGTCAGCTGGGCTACAGTGGCTTACAGTGAAAAATTCATGCTGTAACAGCCCTTCTGAACAATTAGAAGACAGCTTAAGGAAATGAACGTTGGGAAGCTGACACGAGGGAGGAGGGGAGGTGGTGTGGGATCAGAAAGCTTCGGCTTTTGGATCTGAGGGGTTCTGGGAGACGGCTGAGGAATCAGCTCCCCCACCCACTTGGGTACCAATGGATGCACCAGTCCGGAAGACTAGCCCCCCTCTACCTTGAGCATCAGCCTCTTGATGATGGAGGCGGCCTCCGCGCTGCTGGACTTGGGTCTGCCCACAAAGTGGGAGAGGATCAGGGTGCCGGGGGCGGTGCTCTGCTGCAGCTGAATCCTGAAAGACAAGACACACACGCTCACATGACCCATGCCACTCGCCTGCCATCCACGACACAGGCATCTGTGGAGAGCTGGACTTCGGGGCTGCCGGGCTGTGAGTGGTGTCCCTGGGTTGTTCATGGGGACATGGGGTTTCTGGTTCACTCTGTGTCACAGGTGTTTGTACACTGTGTTCACCACTGCAGGCTCATTTGAAACCCCAGACTTCAGGTTAGTTCACGCAAGCTAACGTGGTTTGGGGCCGAGGTTATGGCACTAGTCAGACACTAAAAATAGGCTGCCCCCCAGGGGAAGTCTGTTAGGAGGGAAAATATTTACTACGTGTCTTTTTTTTTTTTGGGGGGGGTCTGGTCGTGGGGCCTGAACTCTGGGACTGGGCACTGTCCCTCAGCTCTTCAGCTACAGAGCCACAGCGCCACTTCTGGGTTTTTCTTTTTGCTTATGTGGTGCTGAGAAATCGAACCCAGGGCCTCATGCATGCAAGGCAAGCGCTCTACCACTGAGCCACCTTCCCAACCCTATGTGTCACTTTAAAGGGCAAGTATCAATGACATGAGCTGACTCGATGAAGTGAATAATAATTGTGAATAAAAGCCAAGTATCCTCACTTGAAAAAATACTATAATGAAATATAAATGCTCCTTAGCTTCTTTTTCTATTTTTTTTTTTTTGGTCAGTTGTGGGGTTTGAACTCTGGGCCTGGGTGCTGTTCCTCAGCTCTTCAGCTCAAGGTGTGGGCTCTACCACTTGAGCCACAGCGCCACTTCCAACTTTTTCTGTGGTGCTGAGGACTGGAACCCAGGTACTCATGCATATGAGGCAAGCACTCTACCACTGAGCCACCTTCCAAGCCCTTACTGTTAATTTTGATGTTCCTTAGAATATATTTTACTGTACATAGGCTTTTGTCTATATCTGTCTTGCTTCATATATTTTAAATCTTTTCTTTTTTCTTTTTTTGTCGGTCGTGGGGCTTGAACTCTGGGCCTAGGCGCTGTCCCTCAGCTCTTTGACAGCTTTACCACTTGAGCCACAGCTCTACTTCTGGTTTTTTGGTGGTTCATTGAAGATAAGAGTCTCATGGACTTTTCTGTTGGGGGCTGGCTTTGAACCGCCCCCTGATCTCAGATCTTAGCCTCCTGAGTAGCTAGGATGACTGGGATGAGCCACAGGCGCCCTAGCTCCTATTTTACATCTCAGTGCAACGTTGAAGATGAAGCCAGTAACTGCCAAGAGGAGCTGCTCCCAGTGTGATCCGCCTAATTCCATGTCACACCCCGCCTACTCCTTATCCCGTGCTCCTGCATGCCGCTTCCGCACATAAATATGCATGCTCACGTTTCCTATCCCTTCCTCATCCTGCATCTTTTCTCAGACGTCTGAATTTGACAACCCGCTCTCCTCTTCTGCTGAGCTGCATGTTTGGTATGGGCCCGCATGCAACGGGAACTCAGGCCACGTGTGGGGCTGACAAGAACGATTTGAGCACGGTGCATCTCGTACCACTTGGATAAAAGAAGGGACTTGCCAGAACCGGGTCCTCCGGACACCAGCAGCGGTGGAATCGGGGCTGGGGCCGCTACCAGATCATTCAGGCGTTGGTAATACTGGAAACGAGAGAGGAACCTGCATCAGGAGGAGGCGGTGGGTGACTTGGCACAGCTTCTGATGATTGTCTGCAAACACAGGGATATGCTTCCGGGAAGAAAGAATTCCCCCACTGTTGGCCAGTGCCTGGGCCCTGTCTGTCTTTGTGACTCCCGAAAATACCTGTGACAGTGAACTAAGAATGGGGGAGGAGGATGGGGGTGCACACATCCAGGTGTTCTGTCCCCCAAATCATACAACGCGTGTGCCCAGGGGGGAAAAAGGAGGTGTGACTCATACCTTTTGCTTGGTCTGGCCTCAAAACCACGATCTTCTGATATCAGCGCCCTGACTAGCCAGGGCTACAGGCATGCGCTACTGTGCTTGGCTCCTGAGTACTTTCTGAATGCAGACATCTATCTTTGTACGTGTCAGGATCAATCTGTTTAGCTAGTAGGGCTGCTCAGTACACGGACACGGGATTGATCGGCTGAGTGCATGATCTTTTTTCTTGGGTTCAGTTTTCAAACACTCGATATTTGGTTGTTTGGTTGTTTTTTTTTTTTTTTAGGTCCGGTTGTGGGGTCTGAACTCAGGGTCTGGGCACTGTCCCTGAGCTTCTTTGTGCTCAAGGCTAGCACTCTACCACTTGAGCCACAGCACCACTTCTGGCTTTTTCTGTGTATGTAGTACTGGGGAATCGAACCCAGGGCTTCATGCATGCAAGGCAAGCACTCTACCACTGAGCCACCTTCCCAGCTGCAAACAATAGATATTTGGAAGACTAGAGCCATGCAATTTTTATCAAGTGTCCTAGCTATCTCAAGCCCAGAATTGTAGAAGATAAAAAATGATGAGTCCTGAGCTAGAGCACTGCATGTCTGGTACTCAAAGCTTTTCTTCTTTTCTTTTCTTGTTTTTTTGGTTGGTCATGGGGTTTGAACTCTGGGCCTGGGCTCTGTCCCTCAGCTCTTCAGCTCAAGGCAAGTGCTCTACCACTTTGAACCACAGCGCCACTTCCAGTTTTCTGGTGGTTTATTGGAGATAAGAGTCTCACGGACTCTTCTGCCCGGGCTGGCTTTGAACCACCATCCTCAGATCTCAGCCTCCTGAGTAGCTGGGATGACAGGCGGAAGCCACCAGTGCCTAGCCACAAACATATCTGCACGTCATACATCTCTCATACTGTCTAGACTCAGACATGTCTCCACATAGACAATCAGACTTCGAGAGAACATGCCCATAAACCGTGTCTGCGCTCCAGGGGGAACATCGTCATAGGACAGCCTTTAAGTGGAACCTGGAAACCTGGAGAAGAGTCAGAATGCCGGGGGGGGGGGGGGGGGGGGAGGCTGGGAAGGGATGTGAAACGTAAACAAAGGAGGAGGCTGCAATGCTTGGTAAGAAATGTATGCATTATCCTGCCTATGTAATTGTAACCCCTCTTTACAGTATGTTCACAAATAAAATAAAAAGAGTCAGAACGCTTACTTTCTCGAATCCCAGCTCCTGGGCTGAGCTAGAGGCCTGCTGAAACATTTCCATCTGCTCCTGTTCGTCGTGAATGTCCCAGAGCACATCCCCCAGGTCATCTTCGTCCGCCATGGAATCTTCACTGCCCAGCTCGGTGGTTTCCAAGTCTGTGTTTTCAAAGCCCAGTATGTCCTAAACACAGAGAACAGGGGGAGGAGAAAAGTGACTGAGACCGAAACCCCACAGCAAGAAGTCTGAGCCTTCTATGGGCTCCACCTCGTGAGGAGGGCGAGGCCAAACCTCTGGTCTTTGTACAGTAACCTGCCAGAATAAATGGGTGGCTGAGCATGGTGATGTATGCCTGACGTCCCAGCTTTGTGGGAGGTGTAAACAGGAGGATCTTGTTCCAGGCCAGGTCACACAACGACTTAACCAAAACATTGGCTAACATAGGCCTGACCACCAGTTTCTCTGCATCGGCTGTGCCAACGAAAGGTGCACGGCGATTTACCATACCCATGTGTTTACCTGCTTGACAATCTTCTCCACGCAGATGTATGCTTTGTATAGTCCCTCTGCGGGGTCTCCTGAGTGGCCAATGATCTGGGAGGGTTCAAACAGAAAAGAGGCGCAACAATAAGAAGACAGCACAGAGGCCAGGGTGGTAAACACTGAACTGGGGTTACAAGTCCAGAAGAATTCCCCCTCCCTGCCCCCAGTGCTTCATGCACATAGGCTAATTGCTTCTCATGACAGCCTCATGAGGGAGCTATCATTACCCCATGTTGACAGAGGGGGAAACTGAGGCAAGGTAAGTAATTTGTCTGAGATCAACAAATAGTAACAGTGTAACAGGGCAATGAGACACAAAGGCATGCATCCTGCTTCTCCTAGGCAGAATGATCAACCAACTCTGGAGACAGAGGATAGATACATGATACAAGATGTCATGCATCTCCCAGGCCCAGCCTATTGCTTGCAGACTGTATCCCCTTCCCTCCAATCTCTGATCAACTCTATACAGCAACCAAAGAGATCATTGGCCGAGAACCACGCCAAGACCTGCAAAAGCCACGTCCCTCCAGTCCTGTTCTTTTTGTTTGCCAATCCTGGCGCTTGAACTCAGGGCCTGGACGCTGTCCCTGAACTTCTTTTGCTCAAGGCGAGCACTCTACCACTTGAGCCACAGCGCCACTTCCAGCTTTTTTCTGCTGATGTGGTGCTGAGGAATCGAACCAGGGCCTCATGCATGCAAGGCAAGCACTCTACCCCTGAACCACCTTCCCAGTCCGCAATCCTGTTCTTGATGTTCTTCAGGATCAAGTGGGGACAACTCTCCTGCCTCTCCTTGTCCTTCACCTGTCCCAGCCACACGGGCTCCCTTTCAACCTCCAAACATGCCTAGCCCATGCGCCCACCTTCTCTTTGGTGCTTTCCTCTGCCAAGCACATTCTTCAGAAACAAAACAAGGGGCTGGGAAGGTGGCTCAGTGGTAGAGTGCTTGCCTTGCATGCATGAGGCCCTGGGTTCGAGTCCTCAGCACCACATAAGCAAAAAGAAAAAAGCCGGAGTGGCGTTATGGCTCAAGTGGTAGAGGGCTCGCCTTGAGCTGAAGAGCTGAGCGACAGCGCCCAGGCCCAGAGTTCAGGCCCCATGACCCACAGAAAAAAAAAACAAACAAAACAAAAAAAACTCCTATGGATTTTTACCTTGGCTTTGCTGGTGGTGTTTAAGTTAGAAACCTGCTCGATCAACTGCTGGACAGAGTCAGAAGTGGCTTTCCCATCTTCCAAGAGATGATAAATCAATCGTGGTTTCCCTTCTGTGTTTTTCAGAAAAGCCTCTTCACAGTCTTCCCATAAAAAGCTGCGTGGGAAATGGGCCTTTCTTGGGTTACAGTGCATCGTGGTGGTGAGCCACTGGCTCCCGTAAGCACCCTCAGCAGAGCTGCTGCCACAAGAACAAAGAGCCAGGAAAGGCCTGGGGAAGCAGAGCTCTATTTCTGACACAAAATAATAAATAATCTGCTGAGGTTTTTATACAGCACAGAAACAGTGCAACCAGTTTTCCTTTCTAGGAAATGGTAAGTGAAAGTGATCTAGAGAGTCAAGGTGTGTGTGTGTGTGTGTGTGTGTGTGTGTGTGTGTGTGTGTGTGTGTGTGTGTGTGTGTGTGTGTGTGTGTGTGT